CTCCCCGCGCCCCCCTCCTTCTCATTTCAGCTCCTACGCCCAGGATCCCCACTTCTTGGCCAGGACGCCGTTCTTCCTTCACCCCTTATAGCTCCTGGGGGCCCTTGGGGCCTTGGGTCCACCTGGGAGGAGGTGGGAGGTCCCCAGACTTGACCCCACCCTGGCCCTGCCCAGACTCCCTGCCCTGCCCCGGACCCCAGCCCAGTCAGGATTCTGCTCGTCGGAGGGCCCTCTGGCCCGAGGTAACTGACCAGAGCCACTGCCCTTGCTGGCTGCTGGGAGCTGCCTTCTCATCAGCTCGTTCTGCCTCACCCTTCCTCCTTACCTGCCTGCTGCCCCACCATTCCCGCCTGATCTACACCGGCCCCTGCCTTGCCAGCCCGGGTGGGCACGCTGCGGGGCCGGGGCTTGGGCTGTGGCGCTTGGCTTTGCCTGTAATCTCAAGTGGTCCAAAGTTTATACTTGTTCCCTTTTGGACCTCTCCAGGTCGCTGCCTCCTTCCCAGACCTAAGTCCCTGGCGGGAAGCAGTCCCTCCACTCGCCTGCTGACACTGGAAGAAGCTCAGGCACGCACCCAGGGCCGTCTTGGAACACCTACTGAACCCACAACTCCCAAGACCCCAGCCTCACCAGTGGAAAGGTATGCGTGGGATGCTGGGGAGGGAGGAGTAGCTGGGAGCCCTGGTTTCTCAGACTGCCTGCTCTCTCTTACCCAAACTCCAGAAGGAAAAGAGAGAGAGCAGAGAAACAACGGAAGCCAGGGGGTAGCAGTTGGAAGACATTCTTTGCTCTGGGGCGGGGCCCCGGCATACCCCGGAAGAAGCCCCTGCCCTGGCTGGGCAGCAGCCGGGCTGCTCCACAGCCTTCAGGTCAGAGACTGAGCCCTTGCTGTGTGGGTGGTGGGAGTGGCTATAGTGCTGGAGTGGTAGGTGACTTCTCTTCTCCCTGTAGGTAGCAGACCTGACACTGTCACACTGAGATCTGCCAAAAGTGAGGAGTCTCTGTCATCGCAGGCCAGCGGGGCTGGTGAGCATAATGTGGACCCTACATGTGCCCAAGTTGAGCTAGGAGGAACCAAGGCCCTGGTTTCATCTTTAAATGTTATACTTCATATTATAAGAGAGGACCTTGACGTTTGTTTGTTTTGTTTTGGGATTTTGTTATGGTTTTGAGGCTGGATCTTGCTAATGTTCTGGCTGGCCTGTATCATCCAGGCTGGCCCCACAACTCTTAACTGCCTTGAGCCTGAGAACTGAGATTACATGCGTGAGTCACCAGATCCAGCAAGGGATTTAAACTTTAAAACCAAGGCCTCAGACGTAAGCTAGATAAGTCTTAGGTATGAGTTAGATATAAATTGCTATTGACAATACACACTGCATTCACTAGTTCATACAGGGTCTTTTGTTTAGGTGTTCCATTTGAAAGTACTTAAGTAATATTGTCAACACCCCAAACTCTCTGGATGCAATTAAAAGAGTCCCCATACCTTACCTGGGAGTGCCTTCCTGCTGCTGCCCCTGACCAGAGGCATCCTCTTGACAGTCATCATCCCTCACTCTGGAGGCCCACGCCCCTGCATTTGTCTATGTGAAAGCCTTATTGCTCAGTTCCAGTTGCTTTGATGCATGTGTGGGCAACAGGGGAAGTGGGAGGCAGGCTGCATATGCTGCTTGATTTTCAGAACACACAGCCAGACGACCATCTACATTGACCAGTGCAACTTAGCTCCTCCCACTGCTCGCGCGCTCGCTCTCTCTCTCTCTCTCTCTCTCTCTCTCTCTCTCTCTCTCTCTCTCTCGTGGTGTGTGTGTGTGTGTGTGTGTGTGTGTGTGTGTGTGTGTTCACCATTCCTCCACCCAGTGGCTTTGGTGGTTCTTGTCAGCAATCCCCGTCACACTCCTAATGAGCAAGCTCTGCGATGCTCAGGAGTGAATGAAGTTGCTGCTGTGTGGGCTCAGCACACGCTCACAGCATCAGAACAGCCAGTGGTTTTCCAGGGCAGGTGTCCATCTGGACACCCTACAGAGTGTATGACAGCTTGGCATGCTCATGCTTCATAGCTGTGCACCGGATGCCATCCTCGCTCTGGGTCTGGACTAGTTCATAACCTTGTCGTACCACTCATGCTCTGAACAGCTCTTTCTGAGTCAGGTGTCCTCTAGGGAGTTCTGCTTCCTTTCACATGGTTTCTGCCAAGTTGTATCCTGTCCTCAAGGGGTGTTTTGGTCTGTAATGTTCTCACCTCTGTGCTGTCCCCTCCCAACAGGCCTCCAGAGGTTGCACCGGCTGCGACGACCTCATTCCAGCAGTGATGCTTTCCCTGTGGGCCCAGCACCTGCTGGCTCATGTGAGAGCCTGTCCTCCTCTTCCTCGTCATCTTCGTCTTCGTCCTCCTCCTCAGAGTCCTCAGCAGCTGGCCTAGGGCCACTCTCTGGGTCCCCGTCACACCGCACATCAGCCTGGCTAGATGATGGTGATGAGCTGGATTTCAGTCCACCCCGCTGTCTGGAAGGGCTTCGGGGACTCGATTTTGATCCCCTTACCTTTCGCTGCAGCAGCCCTACCCCAGGGGACCCTGCACCTCCTGCCAGCCCAGCACCTCCAGCCTCTGCCTCTGCCTTCCCACCTCGGGCAACCCCACAGGCCCTGTCACCCCATGGACCCACCAACCCCGCTTCGCCCATTGCCCTGGACATCTCAGAGCCACTGGCTGTATCAGTGCCACCTGCTGTCCTGGAATTGCTGGGGGCTGGAGGAACACCTGCCTCAGTCACCCCAACACCGTCTCTGAGCCCTAACCCAGGTCTGCGCCCCCATCTCATCCCCCTGCTGCTGCGTGGAGCTGAGGCCCAGCTAAGTGACACTTGTCAGCAGGAGATCGGCAGTAAGCTAGCACCAGCAGGTCCCCAGGGAGCTCCAGGCCAGTACAGTGAGTCTTATTCAGTAGATCTCGCACCCAATCCCCAAACTGTCCCAGGACCCAGCTGACCCCCTTTCCTATTCCTTTCTGTATTGTAGGTCCTGGCATGGATTCACCATTATTGCCCCCACCCTTGTCTCTACTGCGCCCTGGTGGGGCTCCACCCCCACCCCCCAAGAACCCAGCTCGTCTCATGGCCCTGGCTTTGGCTGAGAGGGCTCAGCAGGTGGCAGAGCAACAGAGCCAACAAGAGCAGGGGGGCACCCCACCTGCTCCCCACTCCCCTTTTCGTCGCTCACTATCCCTAGAGGTGGGTGGGGAGCCTTTGGGAACTTCAGGGAGTAGACCACATCCTCCCTCCTTAGCCCACCCAGATGCCTCGACTCCAGGTCCTCCACCTTACCTCCCAAGACAACAAAGTGATGGGAGCCTGGTGAGAAGCCAGCGGCCCTTGGGGACCTCAAGGAGGGGTCCCAGAGGCCCCTCCCACATCAGTTCCCAGATCAGGGCAAGTGGGGCTTACAGGGATGCCCCGGAGATGACAGCTCAGTCCCCATGTTCTGTCCCTTCACAGGGTTCTAACCCCAGTTTCTTCTCAGCCCCCCGGGAGTGTCTGCCACCTTTTCTTGGGATCCCCAAACAAGGCTTGTACTCCCTAGGTCCCCCATCGTTCCCACCCAGCTCCCCGGCCCCAGTCTGGAGGAACTCTCTGGGTGCTTCCTCAGCACTTGACAGGGGAGACAATCTGTACTATGAGATCGGGGCAGGGGAGGGGACCTCCTACTCTGGCCCCAGCCAGCCCTGGAGTCCATTTCGTTCCATGCCTCCCGACAGGCTCAATGCCTCATATGGCATGCTTGGCCAGTCACCACCACTCCACAGGTCCCCTGACTTCCTGCTCAGCTACCCACCGCCCTCTTCCTGCTTTCCACCTGACCATCTTAGTCACTCAGTTTCCCGGCACATTGCCCGGCGCCCTACCCGACCTGAGCCCCTCTATGTCAACCTAGCCTTAGGTCCCAGGGGCCCATCACCTGCCTCTTCCTCCTCCTCCTCTCCTCCTGCCCACCCCCGAAGCCGATCAGATCCTGGGCCACCTGTTCCCCGCCTCCCCCAGAAGCAGCGGGCTCCTTGGGGTCCCCGTACCCCACATCGGGTACCTGGACCTTGGGGCTCCCCTGAACCTCTTCTGCTCTATAGAGCAGCTCCGCCAGCCTATGGGAGGGGAGGCGAACTTCGAGGATCCTTGTACAGAAATGGAGGACATAGAGGAGAGGGGGCTGGTCCCCCTCCTCCTTATCCCACACCCAGCTGGTCCCTACATTCAGAAGGACAGACCAGAAGTTACTGCTGAGCTAGGGCCAGGAAAGGACCCTCCCCACATTGGATCTTGGTCCAAGTCAATCCTTTGTTTTGTATTTTCTTGAGCTCGCTACCCCACTCCAGGTTTCTAACTTTGTAACTTGCTCTGATGTGGGTCCCTAACCCAAAATCATTGTGTCCATCCCCCACCTCCCTCCTGGAGCCCTTGCACAAATTGGGGGTGGTGGAACAAGGTTGATATCCTGTCCTCCTCCTCCCTCCAGGAGCCTCCAGCCCGTGCTACTCTGTGCACAGGGATGGGGAGACAGTCCCTGCCCACCTCTCCCTATGCACCCCACTAAACCACCTGACAACATTAATGAATAAATGGCAAAAATTTGACTTCTGGAGCCACTGAATGAAGAGATAAACCGGGGACTTTCTTTGTTTTGAGGCAGACACTGAGGAATGGGGTCAGTCCTGGGAAGGCTCCCAGGGTAATGTCTGCAGGGAGAGCTGTGGGCACCCTAGGAGTCTGGGCTAAGAGTGGGGCTCAGCCTGGGAGTGTCTTCAAGGTGGCACTTATTCTGCAGCTCTGCCATGATCTCCTCCAGCAGATTCATCCTGAGCAGCAGTAGGGCAGACAGACTGGGCTTAGTTCAGGGTGAGGGAGGGGCCCAGGGCCGCCCACCACAGCCTGTGTATCTTACTCCTGTAGCTTGCAGAAGAGACTGCCTTCTGTCAGCTCACTCTCCTCACTATCAGGTTTCTGTGGGAGGAAAGGTCAAGTTGCCACCAGCTGCCACAGAGGCTTAGAGCCTGGGGCTTTGGGTGTTCTACTCATGGCCTTCCCTGGCAGCAGCTCTCTGGGCATTGAAGCCTCTTTGTCAGCACGCAGGGGTGGGGGTCCAGGACAGCAGTCCCATATGTGCCACAGTTGCCCCTGCAGAGCTTGGGTCCTGGCAGAACTTCCTCTCACCCTGCTCCTCAGAGCTCTGGGTCCCCAGCAGGGAGGCTGGCTCCAGAAGGCCGGTGGGCAGGTCAGGGCCTTGGGGGAAGCAGGACTGCTCAGGGAATCACAGGTCAGAGGCTAGGGTGCAGGTTAGTAATGGAGTAGGGGTATCCGTACTATTGAGATGGGTTCCAGGCAACAGTGTGTGCTGGAGCTGGGGCTGGGGCCCACACCAGAGCTGGGGTCCAGATGAAGACTGGAGCTGGGGCTGAAGCTGCTGCCTAGAGTCAAGCTGCTGCCCGAGTCCCAGGCTGTATTCTGCTGGACTCTGCTGTGATATGTGACCTCAGAACTATCCAGGGCCTATAGAAAACAAAGGCAAGGAACTAGCGTGGTTGTCTAGGTCCCCATACCTCCTTTGGATATTGATCATTCCTCTGCTTCCTACCTGGGAAGGGTCTGGGAAAGGGAGCACAAGCCTTGATCTGGCCTTGGCCTTGGGGGTCACTTCACGGTACAGATGCTCTGGGGATACAGAGCAGATGGCTGGAAAGTTATGCACACCTCCACCGTGTCCAGAATACCCCATCATCATCTGTACCCTCTAACCTGGCAGGGAACCCAGGGTTACAGGAGACAGTGCTGTCCACTCTGCTGGGGAGTTGACCTTGGGTTCTGAGTCCTACAGAAAGAGGTGAGATGTGATGACATGGGCCCTCCCTGGGGTTCCATAAGTACCCAAGCCACTCTGACCTTCCTGTACCTTGGCCATGGCCTTTCGCAATAGGTACCGAGTGCTCTGCAAGCTGCCCCAGCGGTCAGCAGGCTCTAGGCCCAGCCCCGCTTGAACCAAGGCCTGATAAGGAGCTGGCAGCAAGGGGTCCAGGGCCGGGCTCTCACCTGCCTCCAGCTTTGCCTTCACCTCCAGTCCCTCTCCCCCAGCCCACGGCAGCGCTCCTGTGAAGAAGGACCATGAGGAGACCCACACTAGTGCTGTCTCCAGGGTGGGCAGTAAGTGTAGGGTGAGCCACTGACCAGTGAAGACCTCCTGGGCCAGGATGCAGAAGCTGTAGAGGTCTGAGGTAGGGGCTGGCATGTCACCACGGATCAGCTCAAGTGGTAGCCATGGGTACAGTTCAGGGGGTGGGGGAAGCCCTGGACTTGGGTCTCCCTGGGGGTAGTCCCGTTGCAGCCTGGGGAGGTCAAAAGGTCTAGTGAGCTAGTGGCTGCCAGGAGGGAGATAGGGCAGACATGGGGGCAGGCTCTCACCTGGGCTGCAGCCTGGGCTGGTTCAGCGGACGCCCGTGTTCTAGGTGGCTCACCTTAACCAGGCCTGGTCGCACTAGCTGTACAGCATGAGAGCTGAGGCCGCCATGGGCCCAGCAGCGGGACTGCAGGAACAACAGGGCCTCCACCACCTGTAGCAGCAGAGAGCTGGGCAGCAGGCCTGGCAGGGCTCGGGAACCCTCCTCAACCGCTCTTGCGGAATGCAGCAGGATATAAAGGGAGCCCAGCCACACTGGCTCAAAGAGCAGGCTGAGTCCAGACAGGTCCTCTGAGGGGCTCACTGCCATCAGCAGCAGCAGGCCAGGGTGGTGCAGGATGCTGGGAGGGAGCAGAGCAGGTCCTTCAGAATGTCCCCCACCTGCTCAAGGTGAGGGCTGCTTCTGGCCACAGGCCACCTACCAGGGCCAGGGGAAGACTGTCTCACCAGCCACCATGCAGAAAACATTGAGACCCTCCATCACAGCCTAGCAGTGACAGGTCAGCCCCAGTCTGTATCAGCCTAAGTGCCCTCCCATCCCTTCCTCCTCTCTGGGTACCACTCTATGGGAGGGTGTCGTTATAGCTGGAGGGCTCCATGCTGGATGCTAGCCCAGAGACGAAGCTTAACTACAACCATGGCCAGTACCACATCCTCTTGGTTATGGACTGCTGGAGTCAGCGGTCATCTGGGACTGGTAACCTGCAGTGCTGAAGGTCAGCCAGCAGCACGTCAGGGTGGGTTTCTGGGGTCTTCAGCTGACGTACAGTAACAGGGTGGCCCTTCCACAGGAGGCTAGGGAATGGGCAGCAGGTGAGTGACATGGGCAGGATTTCTTTGTGAGGGAAGCAGGAGGCATGGGCTCTCGAGGCATGGAAGGGTTCTCACTTGGCCATGAAGGTATGAGAACTGCTCTTGTAGGTGCGGTCAGGCTCACCCTGGGTTGGTACTAGCTCTTTGGGGTCTACCAGAGGGATGCCCATTATCAGTGCCGGTGGCTGCAGGCTGTTCAGCTGAGGAAAAAGCAGGGCTTTGAGCACCAAATGGATGCAGGGGTCCCTGCTCTCCCATCCTCTCCCTCTTACCTGGCCAAACCCCAAGGCTGGGGTTTGGGAGGATCTCCTGATCTGCCCTTGCCTCAGTGCCCTAGGATAAAGGGCAGGCTGAGGGTAAGCATGGGGTCACTGGGTGTGCTGGCCCGGAAGGCTCAAGAATGTGGACTGTTACCTGTCTGCCCGAGCCAGCCTGAGTGAGGGCAGGGTGCCACACAGGCTGTGTCCAGAGCTAGCTTGTAATTGACTTGGGGACACAGTGGATGCCAACTCCCCACTCTGCACCAGCGCTGACATGTGGGTACGACACCACCGCAACAGCTCCAGCACCTGGGTGGGACACAGGGTGAGATTGGGCGCCCATGCTGGCCTTGCTGACTCTAACGTACCCTGGCCACTTCTTACCTCCCAGCTCTGCTTGGCATCACCCTGCTCAGCCCAGTCTCTTGGCGTGCGACCTTGCCGGTCACGCAGGCGCAGGTCACCTCCTGCCTGCAGCAGGTGCCACACCACCAGCCCTCGGCCTGAGAAGGCACCGGCATGCACAGGTGTGCTGCCATCAAGGCAGCGGCTGGGACAGAACCAGGGGCAAGGGTGGGATGGATGAAGAAAGGGGAGGAGACAGGCACAAAAGGGAGCTGAATGGGGGCTGAGTGGAAGGGAGAAGTCCTGGGAAGCGGGTTACATGAGAACTCAGGGGGGTCAGTGTGGGAGGGGGAGGATCTTTGGGAACTCTGGAAGGCACCAGAATGAGAACAGTCACTGGGGAGCCAGAAGAGGTTAACCCAGAGACCAGGGAAGGCACTGGGCTCTGGAAGGCGATTTGTGGCCTGAGAGTGTTGGGGTACTGGCACTTGTCTACTCACTGGTTGGGGTTGGCCCCAAAGGCCAGTAGCAGGCGCACAGTAGAAGTATGGCCCAGTAGTGCGGACAGGAAGAGCCCGGTCTGCCCAGCAGAGTTCTCACCATCTACCTGGACAACTGAGGGACAGCAAAGTCTAAACCTGTGCTCACTCCAGACTCCTGGAAGTCTCTCTGGCCACCAGGCAACACACATCTCATGAATTCCAGGCTAGCCTGGCACTTAGTATGTACCCAGGGACGACCATGAACTTCTGCTCCTCCTGTCTCTGAGTGCTGCTGGGATTTACCAGCCACCATGACTAGCTTATATGTGCCGAGGTGTCAACCCAGGGTGCTGAGCACTGTGAACAAGCATGCTATCAGCTGAGTTACATGCCTCGCGACTCAGTAAGGCCCCCGGCCAGCCCAGCCTCCACTGTTTTTCTTTGGCTTGGTGCCTGTTCTTCCCCTTTCTGTGCATCCCCCCTCTGGTGCTGTCCCAGCCAAGGACTTGATGGCAGCACACCTACGCCTTGATCCCCAACTCCATTTCTGTGGCCTGGAACTAGCGCCTCAACACAGGGCACTAGAAGTAACTCCACAGAGCTAGAACGAGGTGAGACATCTGTCAGCCATTAAAATATTCATCCTTCCCAGGATGTGTGTGAAATCAGGACCAAATGTGGCCCCTTCCAGATCCTCTGAGCACCACAGTCTCTGCCTCACACTTTCCTCACAGCCCAGCCATCATCTTCTGCAAAGACATCTTAACTGGTTTTCCACTCTCAACCTGTTCCCCGAAGGCATCTTCCTAAAACACAAATTGTTGCAAGGACTAGATCATCCCAAACAAGTTCCAAAACCAAAATACACAAAGAGGTGACGCTTGTTTTATGAGGCCCACCTGGCCCTTAATTCCAAAGCTGGATGACAGTTTCCAGAACCAGAAAGTAGAACTATGAATGGATTCCATTTATGATCACACAGGCGAAAACCTAAGTAACCCTAACTTATCCCCAGAAAGCAGGTGTGCTTCCACGTAAGAAAACTCGTCAGAGTAAAAGAACTTTATAAAGGACAAAATTTATATGTCCTGGGCTGAAGGTACAACTCAGTGGTAGAGCCCTGCCTACAATCCCCAGTGAGGGGCTGGGGGCGTGGCTCAGTGGTAGAGCCCCTGCCCAGAATCCCCCAGTGAGGGACTGGGGTGTGGCTCAGTGGTAGAGTCCCTGTTTAGAATCCCCCAGTGAGGGGCTGGGGTGTGGCTCAGTGGTAGAGCCCCTGTTTAGAATCCCCCAGTGAGGGGCTGGGGTGTGGCTCAGTGGTAGAGCCCTTGCCCAGAATCCCCCAGTGAGGGGCTGGGGCATGGCTCAGTGGCAGAGTACTTGCCTGGCATGAATAAGGGATTCTATCCCTAGCACCAGTGGGAAGAAAAAAATTCACATTTTAACTTTATAGATATAGAAAAAATGAAATTAGTTGGGTAGTGATGGTGCACACCTTTAATCCCAGCCCTTGGAGGAAGAGGCAGGTGAATTTCTGTGAGTTTAGGCTAGCCCGGTCTACAGAGTGAGTTCCAGGGCAGCCAGGGCTACACAGAGAAACCTTGTCTTGAAAAACAAAAAAACAAAAAATACAAAAAGAAAAGAAAAAGTAAATAGATGAAATTTAGTGGTTTGTATCAGAAAACTTAGATGGGAATTACTAATTATTAATATAATTGTATATATACATATATATACACATGTATGTATACACACACATACATATATACATATAGTGTTTTGTTTTTTTGAGATAGGGTTTCTCTGTAGCTTTGGAGCCTGTCTTGGAACTTGCTTTTTTTTAAAAAAAAATAATTTATTTAGATTCATTTTATGTGCATTGGTGTGAAGGTGTCAGATCCCTTGGAACTGGAGTGACAGACAGTTATGAGCTGCCATGTGGGTGCTGGGAATTGAACCCAGGTCCTCCGGAAGAGCACTGAGCCATATCTCTAGCCCCTGGAACTCACTCTTGTAGACCAAGCTGGCCTCGAACTCATAGAGAGCCACCTGTCTCTACTTCCCAAGTGTTGGGATTAAAGGTGGCTACCATCACCCAGCTATTATTATAAACCCCAACAGCAAGCATGACAGTTTAAAAAACAGATTTAATTCCTTAAATATAAAAAATAAAGTGTGTGCCAAGTGACAACAGTAGTTTGGGAGTTGAATTTTTTTTTTTTTTTTGAGACAGGGTCTCATTAGCACAGGCTCCTCCCAGACTCTCTATCCTTCACCCTCAGCCTCCCGAGGACTGGAGTGGCCTGTGCACCATGATGGCTATTTTCTCTCTTCAGCTAACAAAAACTTAAGACGCAGCCAGCAATCAGAGCTATTAAACAAGTTTAGAAAGTGGTCAGATAATCAGCTTACAAAAATCAGTGGAACTTGTGAAACCATTGACTGCTCATTGGAGTGTCAATTCCCTACTCCTGTTTCCCGTCAAACCACAAAATCCAACAACACCCTACATCTTCGCAGCGACAAAGAAGCAAAGTCTTGTGTCCGGCAGAGTCGCTGCCACATTAGGGTTAATCAGTAGGGGCTGAGACATTGTTTTGAGGTTGTGTGAACCTTGAAGAGTTGTTTCTCTGGAGAGTCTGCTCTTGGTGGTACGTGAGTGCTTGCAGCGGCACTGACCTTGATCCAAAGACACTCATGGCAGACCTGGAGTTCTTAAGCCACAATCAAAAGGAACTGAGATGTGTGTTGTCTGCTTTCATGGGCAGCAAGGGCAAGATGACTTTGATAATTGGAACCTTTCCCTGCCCCAATCAAGCTTGTAATTGAATAAAGTAACCGGAGTGAGCTAGCTGGGCGTCAGTCCTTTCTGAGAGGGTTAGACCCCTCTGCTCTTTTGGATAATGAAGGCTTAGCATCTTAGTGGGCTTCTCTTTCTCTCTACGGCAGCACCTATGACTCAACATCAAACAGCGGATCTCAGGCTCTTTATTGTCTGGATCCAATATCTCTTCAGCTTCTCCCTGAGTATGGTTGGTCACACACATGCCCAGTTCACTTTGACGCCAGGGCCTTTGCCCAGGCCATTCCAGTTTCCAAGGGTCTCCTCTCCCACCTTTCTGTAGAATGGCTTACACTGTGAGGCTTCCTATCCCACCCAGTGAATCCCTTCCCCATCGACTGACTATATTTCGTTCCCGGTGATCCAGAGGCCAGATTCACCCTATATCCCATTTCTACCATAGATCTTGGCACACAGCAGGTAGCAGCGACAACATAGGACCCAGTTATGAACTGGTCAAAGGAAGTTGTTGCTCCATGGTGCTCGCTGGTTCTTTTCTCACTCTGAATCTCACCTCTGCGCAGGAGCCTGGCCAGGCCCCAGCATGGGCCTCCAGCCAGAGCTAGGCGATGCAGACGGCCCACTTGGGCATCTGGATCCCTCACGGTGCCCAGCTCCACCGGGAAGCGTGAGGCCTGCGAATGCATCCGCAGCTTGTTTACTGTCTCCATCAGTTCCTGAGATGGGGTCGGCTAGAAAGGCTCCTGAGGGCAGAGTGGATGCGAAGGCCAATAGGGCTGGCTGAGTGTGGGAGTCCTGTAGTTGAGAAGCGGATTCAGGAGGGTCTGATGGGAAAGGAGGTGTCTGGAAGACCCAACTAGGGAGCCATACACCAGAGCCCAAGGGGCCCAAGGAGCTCAAGGGGTCAGAAGTGATAGTGGGAGTTTTAGGGCAGGGTGGGCATTCCAGGGAAATTCACGGGGGCTATGGGCAGAATCTGAGCCTGGGAGAGGCACTGCACTATAAAAGATCTAGGAGGCTCTGAAGGGTGCTGGTGGGGCCCGCGAGCTGGGGAGGTCATAGGTTCCCAGAATAGAGATGGGGTCTGAACGAAAGGGCAGCTGAACTGGGGCTGGGTGAAGTGTGGGGCTGAAGTGGGTGTGGTGAAAAGCCGAGGGTCTCGAAAGCTCCAAATCGCTCTAGCCCTGGACTCTGGTCCAGATGGCTTGGTACCTACCGTTGGGCGCAATTGTGGCTGTCACGTGACTATGATACAGTGGTGGCAATCTGCGCATGTTCGCCTGCTGCTTCCTGCCATCTTGCACTTGCGCAGTAGCCTACTCTAAGAAGCCGCCCTACCATCCTGTAGCAGGTGGGGACCGGGATGTCGGCCCAAGTGGTTTCAGCGGGTTCTCCTTCCCCCTTGCCTGCTCCAGAACTTCAGTTATTCAGTGTCTCTAATTTTTGTAATTTTAGTTTTACGTGTGTGACTATTTTGCCTGTATGTGTGTAAGTGCTCCAGGCGGCAGCCTAGCACCCATGGTGGACAAAAGAGGGAACAGAATCCCCTAGAACTAGGGCTAAAGGGGCCAGTGAACTGCCATGTGGGTGCTATGAATCCAGTCTGTGACCTCTAGAAAAGAAGCCGGTACTCTTAACAGCTCAGCCATCCCTCCAGCTCCCAGCCACACCCTCTTGGACCCTTTAAAAAAATTGGTCTGTCTCTGTAGCTTTGGGGCCTATCCTGGAACTCGCTCTGTAGACCAGGGATTATTAAAGACGTGCACCACCACTGCCCAGCTCCTCCTGGACCCTCTTAACCTCAATTCCTCATCCCTGACTCTATTTCCATGCACACCCACCCCATGACTATTTCCAATCCCTTCCCTGAGCCCCATACCTGAGGGCCCTTCAGGATCCCTCCCTTTAGACATCACCTGGACCGTCAAGCGTCAAGCCTACCGGTCCTCAGGATCATCCCCACACTGTGCTTTCTCCCGGGCCTCTGCTACCTCCTTCCCATCCCTGCCCCATGTCGCATTCTCTAAGCCCCTCCCCTCCTTTCCATCCCAGTCCCCACTCTTTCCTAGCTCCTCCAGTCTCCGAAACAGGTAGGAAAGGAAGGAGACAGAAAGGAGACAGAAGACAAATTCTGGGTCCTTAACTGGTTACCATTTAAACACGAAGCGTTCCCTTCTATCTCCCTCCTTGTGTCTCTCAACAACACTCACAGAACACAAGAGTTCTTAGAAAGCCCAAGCCTCTAACACCACTTTCCACTAACTCCACTGAGAATAATACTCTTGACCTGGGGTTGTGGTAACAATTGTCTTGGTTACTTTGCAGAAACTTGAGACAGGTTTATTGGCTCGTTTCTGGATTCCAAAGCACTCAGGAATCTGAGGCAGTAGGATTCCCAGGAGTTCAAGAGCAGCTTAGGATACACAGTATAAACCCTATCTCAACAAAGAAACAAGTCCCCAAAATGTTGAAGACTGTTCTTGCTTAAACACACACACACACACACACACACACGCATGTATGAATTCGCACACATGCACACACATGCTTGAGATAGTGTCTCACTAGGTACTGCCAACTGACCTTGAATTTGCAACCTCCAGTCTTAGATCCCATTGCTGGTATTTTAGGCTCATATTATCACATCCACAAAATATCCACACTCACCTGGATGCTGTAGAAATTGACCAATGAGTGGGAGAAGGGGTGAAAGGCTCGGCATCTCTGCCCGCATGCCATGTCTGACCCTTCCTGCCACAAACTTTGAATGAGACTACCGACTCAACATTGCTCCTTTGACAATCGGGTACTCAAGACTATAACATGGGATGAACTTGGTTCATTGGAGTGGGTGCCTATTTCTTTCAGCCTGAAAAATCCTCTAGCCCTGTCATGAACCCAGGACGTCTAACAAGTTGACCCCAGCAGCTCCCACACAGAGCTGACCATGTGTTAACCTACTGAGTACAAGCCAGGCTGCTTGTGGACAACAATGAGAAAGGAGCAGGTAAGAGCTCGTAAAGCCGTAACGATGTAGTCCAGGCTAGTCTTGAACCTGAAATATTCCTACCTGTGCTTCTGTGGTAGTTTGAATGTAAATGGGCCTCACAATTTCACAGGGAGTGGCACTATTAGGAGATATGGCTTTATTGGAGTGGGTATGGCCTTATTGGAGAAAGTGTGTCACTGTGAGGGTGGGCTTTGAGGTTTTAGCTCATGATACTGCCTAGCATTCCTGTTGTCTGCAAGATGTAGGACTCTCAGTTCCAGCACCATGTCTGCCTGCATGCCACCATGCTTCCCATCTTGATGATAATAGACTGAACTTCTGAAACTTTAAGTGAGTCACTCCAATTAAATGTTTTATTTATAGGAATTGCTGTGGTCATGGCATCTCTTCACAACAATAGAAAATCCAAATGGGGCTGGAGAGATGGCTCAGTGGTTAAGAGCATTGCCTGCTCTTTCAAAGGTCTTGAGTTCAATTCCCAGCAACCACATGGTGGCTCACAACCATCTGTAATGAGGTCTGGTACCCTCTTCTGGATTGCAGGCATACACGCAGATGGACTAATGTATACATAATAAAAATTAAATAAATAAAAAGAAAAAAATCACCTAATACTGTACTCCATTAAAAAAAAACCCAAATGAAGACAGCTTCCTGGTACTATTTTTTTTTTTTTGAGACAACATCCCCCACTGGGACTTGTGTCTCACCAATTGGGCCAGGCTGGCAGACCGGTATCTGTCTGTCTCAGCCTGTACACACATGATGCTTGGAATTTTATATGGCGACTGGAGATTAAACTCAGGTCCTCCTGTCATCAGACATCTTCCTGACAGAGACATTTCCCCAGCCTGTTCATCGGTGCTTATTGGCTGAAGGAATGGTCTTCCCCTCTGGGCACATGGCCTTGGCCCAGCCTTTTGTTAGTGCCTGTTCTTCATCTGCGTTATTTATTGCACATCTTCTGAGATGGAAAGAATTCTTGAATAAAACCCTGACCAAGTTCATTGAAGGATAGACAGCCTCAAGTCATTATCACCCTGGGCCATCTAAAGACACACACACACACACACACACACACACACACACACATTCTTTTTCCCCTCCTCCTCTTCTTCCTCTTCTTCCTTACTATGTAGCCCTAGATGGCCTGGAACTCACTGTGTAGCCCATGATTCTCCTGCCCCAGCCTCCCAAGAGCCACCACGTAGGACTAAAGATCTCTTGAGTTTCAGACATGCCCCACCTATCTGAGCTCTGTTGGCCAAGGCCAGCATCAGCCCTTCCCCAAGGAGGCGGCTCCAGGGAGAAACAGGCAAAGGCAGAGTCTCGAGACCTTTATTGGGCACATGGCCCTAACGTGCTGATGGAGTAACCCTCAGGCCTTCCTTCCCAACAGCCTGCGCCACAGTTCTTGGCTGAGCAGTGCTTGTTCCCGGCGGGCACCCTGCAGCACACTCCGGTTCTCCTGGGCTCTCCGGATCAGATAGGGGATCACCTCCTCCAGGCAACCATAGGGGATAGACTTATATACCACATATCCAGCCTGTCCTGTTGGGAAGAGTATTGGCAGAGTGTGGGTTGATAGAGAGAGAGACAGAGACAGAGACAGAGAGAGGTTCCTGGGCATCGGCAGCAAATGCTATTTCCCTTGCTCAGAACATGGCAGACCAGGTGAGTTAGACATAATTCACTACTAAAACGCTCTACAACAAACATTTAAAAGAAACAATTTTCCTCTTGTCCATCCTTCCCTTCCTCATTTCCTTCCTTTCTTTCTGATTGGTTGATATGAGATTGGCTTTTATTATGTAATCCAGGCTCAATTCTAGTCCCAAATCCTTCTGCCTCAGCCGCCTGAACACTAGAATTACAGGTTTGTACCACCACATCTAGCAAAAAAAAAAAATCTCAGTTTATTAAGATAATGCTAAGACCTGGCAGTAGTGGCACTCGCTTTTAATGCCAGTACTCGGGAGGCAGAGGCAGGTGGATCTCTGTGAGTTTGAGGCCAGTCTGGTCTACAGAGTGAGTTCCAGAACAGCTAGAGATACAGAGAAACTCTGCCTCAAAAAAACAAGCAAACAAAAAAGGATACTTCTAAGAGAGCAAGAAGACTAATTCAATAATAAAGAAAGTAAAAACTCACATAAATCTAATCTACATGGGAAGTAGAAAAAGACAAGCTCTCCTGAGTAAATTGGGAGCATGGGGACCTTGGGGGAGAGTTGAAGGGGGGAGGGGAAAGGCAGGGAGGGGAGCAGAGAAAAATGTAGAGTTCAATAAAAATCATTAAAAAAAATAAAGCAAAAACTCCGAGAGATGGGGACACAGGAAGCCACCCTTTCCCTGAAGGAGAAATCTGATTAATGTTGGATAACCTAACATATTATGCAATTACATGTGAGCCTGACTCAGCTTAGCATTATAAGGACCCCGCCCCACATTAAGCTAGAACTCAGAAAAGCTGTACCTTCTGAGGGAGAGTCAGTGAGAAGCCCCCCTACTTCTCTACACTCCTAGAGAATGGGTTAGAGCCAAAGACACCAGAGAAATTCATCACTGCTGTTTTCTGGAGTCATGGGCTAGCCTGTACGCACAGTGACAGCCTAAATTTGTATCAAGGTATCGAAAGAGGCCTCGACACCCAGGAGGCAGAGGCAGAAGGGTTTCTGTGAGTTTGAGGCCAACAACTTGGGAGTTCGGGTCGGCAAGGGCCGCATAACAAGACCCTGTCTCAAAAACAAATAAACAACAGAAAACACTGGCAGTGTGGACTGAGAGCAAAGTGGTCTTTGAAAACAATAACGTCTCTGTATTGTGGGGTGTGCATGTGTGCCTATGTGTGTGTACGTGTGTGTGTGTGCGTGTGGTCAAAGGACAACCTGTGGGGGTTGTTTCTCTCCTTTTTACCTTGCATGAGAAGGGCCTCTTTAATCACATAAAACTAGACTAGTCGGCCGCAAGCTACTGGGAACCTCCTGTCTCTGCCTCCCATTCCCATAAACATTCTAGGATGATAGACATTTGCCTTACTGTCTAGCTTTGGCATGGGTCCTGGGGATTCGAACTCAGGTCTTCAGGCTTGCATGTTAGGCGCTCTACCCATTGAGCCATCTTCCCAGTAATAAAGTGCTCTCGTTACCCTTAGTAACCCGTAGAAGGAAAGGAATCCAGTCTAAGGTCTCAGGGAGCAGCAGTCAGGACCCTAAACCACAGGCAATATGGCACCATAAACAAGAACCAGCACAGGCCAGGAGAGAAGACACAGGGCATATCCCTGTGAGGACTCCAAATCCTGGAATACTGATCTGTCCGGGAAGAACTGGAGGATGAGCCAGATGCAGGTTCTCTGTGAGAGCGGGGCCAGTTCATGGTTGGAAACAGCAGGAGGGCTCCGGGTGAGAGGGAATGAGAGGGTGGGAGTGGGAGTGGGGGTGCAGGGTGGGCCATTCACATACCTAGTGCCAGGGAGACGTGGTCACACATGCCCAGAAGTTGTCCAAAACAGACAGGCCCATCCAGAGGAATGCCCAGCTCCCACATACTGCAGAAGGGGGTCGTATTATCAGTCCAGACAGTGGCTACATCTAAAGAGCAAGCCAGCCACCCGAGCATTCAAATATGGAGGACGAGCAATTGGCCAGCTGGATCCACATTCCACACTCACACATTCAACCGGGGATCAAATATGAGGGTGGATCGGGTCTGTGTTAAACACCAACCAGCACAGGTTTCCCCTTAGATGGGTGTAACTGTTTATGTAGCATTTACATTCATTGGTCTAGGTGTTATGAATAAGCATGACGATTTCAAGCCTACAGGAAGATGTTCGTGGGTCATATGCAAATATTCAAATAGTATGTCATCTGATGTGTGGGACTCGAACATCTGAAAATCTTGGTTTCCATGGAAACTGGTTCTAGGACAAATTTCCACAGATTCTGAGAAATGAGTCTATCCCCAAACCCGATGGTAATAACCACTGCAGGGCTGGCGAGATGGCTCTGTGGTCAGAAGCCCTGACTGCTCTCCCAGAGGACACGAACTGGACTCGCAGCACCCACAGGGCAACTCAGCAGTCTGCAACTCCAGTTCCAGGGAATCCAATGCCTTCTTCTGGTCTCTGCAGACACCAGACAGGCACATGTGCACACATTACACATGCAGGCAAAATGCCCAAATCCATAGCATTTAAAAAATAAAATAAAATTTAATAAAGAGCTCTTGCTTTTGCAGAGAGGCCCAGTTCGGTTACCAGTACCCAAGCCAGGCAGCTCACAACTGCCTGTAACCCCAGTTCCAGGGGGTCTAACACTCTCTTTTAGCCTCCCCTGGTACTTGCATTTATGGGTGCACACATACACACACACACATATAAATCAAATCAAATCAATGACAATTCTCATGAGCGCTAATGAGACTTCCACCCACTGAGCCTCAGCTGCTCTCTGGAGTCCCCAGTCCTCCCCATGTCTCAGGAAATAAGGAGCAATGCCTTTCACATCTGAGCCTACAGGACATACACAGGCATAGAAGGGGCTAATTTTTTTAAAAAACCTTATTACTGTGTAACCCAGCTGGCATCAACTTTTTGATCCTCCTGCCTCAGCCTTCTGAGGACAACAGGTGTGTATCATTATGCCAGGTTGGAATTAAAATCCCCCCATGTACCTCCTCATTGTCCCTCCCACACTATGGCCTTCCCATCACTGTCTTGTAGTCACAGAGAGGGATGGGGCACTGGTTTCTCCTCCCCCAGCCTCGTACCGCTTAGTTGCTTGGAGAACGGATTCTTCATTGTGAGAAGCCACCATGAGGTGGCACAGGGGACCATGCTGGGACACGCGGCGCAGCATCAGCTCCAGACAGCGACTGTAACTGAAGGGGGAAGTTCTGCTCAGCTCTCCAGGGAGTGAGGACCAAGAGCAATGGACGGATGGGCCCCCTGCCTCCTTTGTTCTTCAGGCTGGAGCTCCTTAGAGTCATTGCCCTCTCTTGTAATCTTTATTAAGCTTCCTTAGTAGAAGTCAGGATGGACGTTGGTGTGAAAAGCAGGACTTTGTTTTGTTCTCACACACAGGCTCATTGTGTAGCCCAGTCCTGCCTTAGCCTCTCATCCACAAGGATGACAAACATGGGCTTCTAAAGGCCACCAGTGAACGGCTTCTGATCCAATGACTGTCTCACAGCAAAACCATGTCTCCGCCCAAGATGGTATTACCCAGGATTAGTCACTATAGCATGGATGGATTTTTTTTCTTAAATAATATATTTTTTTCAGTGTGTGTGTGTGTGTGTGTGTGTGTGTGTGTGTGTGTGTGTATGTTCTAGAGCATACATGTGGAGGTCTCTCCACATGGTCTCTCCTTCTACCACAGAGGTCCTAGGGATGGAACTCAGGCCATTAGGCTGGGTGGCAAGCACCTTTACCTGCTGAGCCATCTCACCAGCCCTGTCTTAATTGGTTGCCTTAATTTTCAATACGATATGATGTGGAATTATGCATAAGAGAAAATTCCTGGCATGTCTGTGACGACACTGTCACAGAAGTTTAACTGGGAAAGAAAGAACCCCTACGCCCTGCAACACACACTGAATGTGGGTGGCACCATTTTATGTATTGTAGTCCCTTGTTGAAAAAAAATGAGAAAGTAAGAGCCGGGCATGGTGGCACAGACCTTTAATCCCAGCACTTAGGAGGCAGAGGCAGGTGGATCTCTGTGAGTTCGAGACCAGCCTGGTCTACAGAGCAAGATCCAGCACAGCTAGAACTGTTAAACAGAGAAACCCTATCTCAAAAAACCAACCAAACGAAGCAAACAAAACTTGGGGCTGGTAGAATAAGCCGAGCACTGGCATCCAGTTCTCTCTGTTTCCTGACTGTGGCTGCAATGTGATCAGCCGCCTCTCACTGTCATACTGCCCTGATGCTATGAACTCTGTCCCCTCAAACATGAGCTAAAGCAAGCCCTTCTTTCCTTAACTTGCTACTGTCGAGGATTTTGTCAAGCATCAAGAAGAGTGATGAATATATCTACAGAAGATTAGTAACAACCCAGGTGTCCAAAATGGGGAGGCAACCTTAGGAATGATGATGTTCAGAGGAAAGCCGTAAGCTGGGAGGGAGCTGGGGTTCGGGGGGTGAAGGAGGAAGGAGAACGTTGCTGTCCAGGTGGGAAACAACAGTGTCCCAAATCCTGGAGAGGAGCCGGGCGGTGGTGGCGCACGCCTTTAATCCCAGCACTCGGGAGGCAGAGGCAGGCGAATCCCTGTGAGTTCGAGGCCAGCCTGGTCTACAAGAGCTAGTTCCAGGACAGGCACCAAAAACTACAGAGAAACCCTGTCTCGAAAAATCAAAAAAAAAAGCAAAAAAAAAAACCAAATCCTGGAGAGGAAGTGACATGAACACACACACACACACACACACACACACACACACACACACAAGATGTTTGGCACAGAACCCCATGGCCGGTGATGAGCAAGTGAAAGATGACATTCATTATACAGGCCTCGTGGTACAGGTCTGTCATTCCAGCTACTTTGGACAATGAGGCAGGAGGATTGCAAGTTCAAAGCTCCAGAGTGAGTTCAAGGTCACCCTGGGAACTTAGCAAGCTTCTGTTTCAAAAACAAAAGTAAAAAGAGGGCTAGAGATATAGTTCAGTGGTAGAATTCTCCAGTGAGGGACTGTGAGTGTGGCTCAGTGGTAGAGTCCCTGCCTAGCATCATCCAGTGAGGGGCTGGGGACATGGTTCAGTGGCAGAGTGACTGTCAGGCTTGTGCAACCTGCTTTCCCCCAGAAGGAGAGTAAGATGCTATTTTAAAACTTTAAGTGTGTGTGTATGTGTTCGTGTGCACATGTGTACATGTGTGGATTGTGGCCCAAGGTTGACACTGGGTGTCTTTCTCAGTGGATCTTCACTTTATTTACTAAGACAGGCTCTCACTGAACCCAGGCTCATCAATTTTGTCTAGTCTAGCTAGCAGCTTGTCCCCTGGGGACAAGTCTGGGATGACAGGTAGCCACCACACCGGCTCAGCTTTTCCTATGGGTTCTGGGGATCTGATCGGCCACCACTGTGCTTGTGAGACAAGGACTTTATTCCCTGAGCTGTCTCGTCACCCTCCACCTTGTGATTTGAGACAGGGCCTCTCACTGGGACCTGGGGCTTGTTGATTAGGTTGGACTTGTTGGCCAGTGAGCTCCAGGGATCTTCCTGGCTGTCTTTTCAACACAGTAACAAGATACCACATGCAGATTCGTGAGTGTGTGTGTGTGCGCGCGCGTGCACACACATGTTTGCTCCCTATATACGCAGAGATCAATGTTGGGTACCTTCCTCCAGCTCTGTGCGCTTTACTGTTGGAGTCAGGGTCTCTCACTGAACCTAGAGATCGATGTTTCAGCTGCATTGACCCCTAGTGAGCCTAGAGCATCTGTTTATCTCCAATGTGGGAGCGCTGGAGTCACAGGTGTGTACCCTGGCACTCGATCCTCATGCAATAGACATTTTCCCTGTTGTGGTGGCACTAATGGGAGGCGTGGCCTTGTTGGAGGAAGTGTGTTACTGTGGAGGCAGGCTTTGAGGTCTCAGTCACACCCAGTGAGACAGTCTACTTCCTGTTGCCCATATATCAACCTATCCAGCATCATGTCTGCCGAAACGCTGCCATGTCCTGTCGTGATGATAATGGACTGAACTCTGAACTATAAGCAAGCCACCACGATAGAATGTTTTCCTTATAAGAGTTGCCGTGGTCACAGTGTCTCTTCCTAGCAATAGGAACCCTGACTATTGCTGCCTCCTCAGCCTTGTGACATGTTATAGTATTTATTATTTTTCCTACAGCCTCTCAGCCCTGTCCCTACCTTCGGCTAGTGGCCTCATAGTCAGGCTGAGTGCAATCTTCTTTCCCCTGGAGTTGCGCCACGGCTCTCTCCTTGTCCAGATAGGCACCTCGTACCAACTTCACCCCAAACGCCAGGCCAGCCTTGTGTGCAGCGTCAGCATCCCACTCCAACCGTTCACGAGTTTCCTGCAGGGCGCACAGGCAGACTCAGGAGGGTCAGGGTGCTGGGTCCCCACCCACACCCCTTAAGAGCACACTGCCCACCTTCAGATAGGCCTGGTAAGTATTCCACACCCAGGGTCCACCTTCCTCTGGTCTGTTCCAGCGCAAGGCCAGGGCAGCCACAAGCAGGGAGAGGGCGGGGTTGATGAAAGTGTATTCCGCATCCACCAGGAGCCTCACGCGCTGAGCCCGGGCATACTGAAGTGGGAGAGAAAGGTGTCAGGGCCAACAGTGTCCACAAGGTGGGGAGCCAGGGCACCCACGTGTTACCTGGGCCACGTGATGCAAGCGGCTGAGAGAGGCCTGCAGGTGCTGATTCTGTTCGGTGTTGAGGTAGGAGACCTGCAGGTTCTAAGGGGCATCAGGGAAAGGGACAGTGTTCAGGACCACTGGCTCCCTCCAGGACCCAAGCCCCCTCTTCCACAAGTAAGGTGTGTATGTGTCTGTCTGTCTGTCGGTGAAGAGTTTGTGGGAAATCAGGAAAGTGACTCGCAGGGTGTAGTGACCTGTGCTATAATCTCACGGTTTGAGAGGCTGAGGAAGCCTGGTCTAGTCTATCCAGTGAGAAAAAAGAGGGCTAGCGAGATGGCTCAGTGGCTTCAGCCACCTGCTGCGAAGTCTGATGACCCAAGTTCAAGTCTCAGGACCCACGTGGTGGAAGGAGACAGCTGACTCCGGGAAGGTGTTTTCTGACCCCTCCACTCCATGCTTTGTCATGCATGTTTACAGGGGTGCACATGTGCACGCGTGTGCGTGCACACACACACACACACACACACACACAAATAAATAAAAGCAGTAAAATTTAAAAAGATAATAAAAAAGGAAAGAGAGAGAGAAAGTAAGGGTGAGAGTCAGTCTCAAAAAAGACATGTAACTATCTCATAAACCAGGCATGGCAGTGCACACCTGTAATCCTATCAGGAGATGGAGGCAGGAGGATCAGGAGCTAAAGGCTATCCTGGGCTACAAAGTGAGTGAGAGGCCAGCCTGGGCTATATGAGACCCAACCTAAAAATTAAACAAGTAAAAAAGAAAAGATCAAAAAAAAAAAAAAACCCAAAACTCACCCTCTGACTTATGGGGATTCTGCAGTGATGGGAAGGCTCCATGTATGGAAGGGGATCCCTACTGTGTGCATTTGCTGAAGTTCATCCCTGCAGGATCTCATGTACCCCAGGCTCACCTAGAATTTGCTGTGTAGTCAAGGATGACCTCCAGCTTCTGCTCCTTCTCCCTCCGCTTCCCAAGTGCTGGTTTGGAGGTGTTTATAGCCAAACCCGCTTCGATTTGTAGTTTTCATTCAGCAAAAATCTTTTTAATTCTAAAGACAAAACTAGCTTAAACAATTAGGAAGCTCTAACCCATGTGCTTCACAGCCTGAAGCACCTGGTGCAGGAGTGAGCTGACGTCAGCCACTGAGAAGCATCACAGAGTAAGATGGATCCATGGGCAGCAGGTGCCATTGCTTCCCGCCATCCAACTCTAGGTTCTGTTCCCATGGATTCAGCCCATGGCAGGTCAAAAAATTTCAGAAAAGCCTTGCAGAGCTGGAGAGACCGTGTCCTGTTTTACCAGAATTCAGTTCCCACTCCTCAAGGCAGGAGACTGTGTGTCACTCCAGCTTCTGGAGATCTACCGCCTCTTAGGGCCTCTGAGGGTGGGGCACACCTTTAATCCCAGCACTCAGGAGGCAGGCAATGTGTGGTGCACACGCAGGCAATGGAAAATAAAGCGATTTATTTAAAAAGAAAAAGCCAGCCGGGCAGTGGTGGTGCACACCTTTAATCCCAGCACTCAGGAGGCAGAGGTAGGGGGAATCTCTGTAAGTTAGAGGCCAGCTTGGTCTACAAAGTGAGGTCCAGGACAGCCAGAACTACACAGAGAAACCCTCTCTTGAAAAACAAGACAAAGACAAAGAAAAACCCTGCACCTACACTGAGCATAGACAGTCATATGCTGACATTATTATCTGAGATGGTTGGAACAGTCAAGTTGACAGAATCTAGGGTCGTCTGGGAGCCGAGCGTTCCAGGCATGTCTGTGGAGGATTGTCTTGTGTTGAGGTAGGCAGATCCACCTGCAGAGGTGGTGCACGTTCCTTGGTGGGGATCCCGGACTGCACAATGGAGAAATGGAGCTAAGCAGCAGGAAACGAGCACTTGGCGCTCCCTGCTTTCTGATCCTAGATGCCACAGGACCAACTGCTTCACCCTCTTGCCGCCCCGATCTCCCGTGATGATGGACTGCACCACACGTAATGAAGCCCAGATCAACCCTTCTCCCTGCAGTTACTTTCGTCTGAGTGTTTGTTACAGCAGCAGGACAGACGCTTAGACACATCCTCCCCAATGCTGCAGAGTGGCTGTTTGTGCAGAATTTGCCCTGCATCTGGTGACAAGTCATCAGAGAGGATTAAAGGGCACGGGAGGATATGCGCAGCTTATAGGCAAATAATGCCAGGCCATTGCGAGTGCTAGTATCTGAAGGTGGTTTACTGGGATGGCAGTGTGGCTAAACGTTAAAGGTGGCAGGTGTGTGGGCGATCACTGCACAATGAACTTTTTACTTTTTAACTGTTTTCCTGCAGTGCTGAGGATAAACCCGGACCTTGTGAAGACTAGACAAGCTCTCTATTACGTATTCACATCCCAGCCCCTCACTGGGGGATTCTAGGCAGGGGCTCTACCACTGAGTTATTCCCCCAACCTCTTACTGATATATTCTAGAGAAATTCTACCCCCAAGCTACATCTGTAGTTCTTGTTTACTTTTTGTTTAGTTGTTTTTGAACAGGATACCACTATGTATCCCAGAATGGTTTTACACTTGAGATCTTACTTAACCTCCTGAGTGCTGGGTGTGTACAGTTATGCCTTGCTTGTTAACATTTTGTTATGAAAAAATTTCAAACTCAGAACAATAAAAAAGAGGCCCAGTATAGTGGCAAATGCCTAGAATCCCAGCACTGGAAACGCTGAGGCAGGAGAATTGTGTATTCCAAACAGACTGGGCTACTGTAACCCTAGCAGATTTTCAGGGATGGAGACCCGGGGATCGTGGGGCTCCCTGTCAGCCAGTGTAGCCATTACAGTGATCTCCTGGTTTAGTGAGAGCCTGCCTGTTAAAACATAAAATGGGACAGGCTGGTGTGCTGGTGAATGCCTTCAGTCCCAGCACTTGAGAGGCAGAAGCAGGCTGATCTTTGTGAGATCAACGCTAGCCTGGTCTACATGATGAATTCTAGGACAGCCAGGGCTATGTAGAGAGACCTTGTCTCAAAAGAAAACAAAAAAATGGAGAGTGAATAAGGAATGTACCTGTTTCCAGCCTCTGATCTCCACAGGTACATATGCATGGACACATGCATGCTCACACACACACACACACACACACACACACACAATAGGATACTGAAATAATAAGGAATGGAAGAATGAATGAATGAATGAGTGAATGAATGAATGAATGAATGAATGACGCAAGGACTTCATCAGGGTCAGGCATGACTGCAAACATCAGTCATCCCAGGCCTGGGAAGGTCGAGAAGGAGGATTGCAAGTTCCAGGCAAGGCTGGGTTACATTGTAAGACCCTGTTTCATAAAACAAAGCAAGACAAAAGGAAGAGTCACGGGGTTGGGTTAGAGCTGATGTGGCAAGCACACACCAGTGTGGTTGCTGATTGACTGCGCCAAGCACACACCAGTGTAGCTGCTGTTAACTGCAGCAAGCACACTCCACTGTAGCCGCTGACCGACTGTAGCAAGCACACACCAGTGTGGCCGCTGTCAACTGCAGCAAGCACACACCAGTGTGGTCGCTGATTGACTAAAACAATTTTTTTTCTTTAAACCAGATTCAGTGGTACATGTCTGTATCTCTAGCAAGTTGGGAGGTGGAGCAGGAAGATCAGGAGTTCAAAGTCATCCTTGACTATACAGAGAGCTCAAGACCAGCCTGAGATACACAAGACCCTGTTTAGAAACAAACCACCACCACCAAAACTACATGTATAGTTTTTAGGTTATGTTCATGGGTGTTTTGCCTGCATGTTTGTATGTGCACTATAGGTATGCCTGGTGTCCGTGGCAGTCGGGATAGAGGGCTGCATCCTCTGGAACTGGGGTTATGTGTGGTTGTGAGCCACCACGTGGGTGCTGGAAACCTGGGTCCTCTGCAAGAGCAACAAGTGTTCTTAACTGCTGAACCATCTCTCCACCCTGCGTTTTTGAGACAAGTCTCACTACATAGCCCAGGCTGACCACAGAGACTTGATCCTCCTGCCTCAGCTTCCCAAGTACTGGCATTAGAAGTATGCCCTGCCATGCTCAGCAACTGACCTCCTCTTGCCCTGTTCTCTGTGGAGAAAGTGCTGCTGTCCTGAGCCCCCCTCTGGTAAGCCTCTCATCCAAGCCCCTCCCCCATGTGATTCATATTTACCCATGCCAACCGTATCCTCAGTGACGGCCACCTCTATTCATTACCTTGCCTGAATCCATAGCTTCTGCCAGTCTCTCAGGGCTCAGCTCTGAGGAGCCTGCTGACTTTTGGATCCAAGTCGATAGCTCCTCCTGAAATGGGGTGGTGGCTGACTCCAGGAGAGTAGCCTGGTGGGTAGACACACCTGTGTCCCCCTCCCCCATCTCACTTTGTCACTTACACAAAGCCGAGGGCTGGTTAGCGCCGTCACCTTCAGCTGCATGAGGGTATTTCTGGCTGGGCCAGAGGTGTCCACGAGAGCTCGTGACAAGTCCACACAGCGCAGCATGGTGCTGAGGTTCCCCTCATACCAGGCCTCACTGTCCGACCAGTGGAGGTCAGTTTCCAGAGCCTAGGAGTCCCCTTCATACCCTCATCCCATCCTCCTTTGGCCCCGCCCTCTCTCTGCTCACCTTGTCTTGGCAGTGGAGTCCGGTTCTTCCTCCGTGGGTACTGCCAGCAGAGGCAGGAGTCCTAGGGTCTGCAGCTGCTGGACACAGCCCCTCACCTCCTCCGCTGTCTCTCCGGCTACAAACTGCCCATAGATGGATGCCCGGAGAAGTGCGCCCGAGAGACGGGAGCCCAGGAGTCGCTGAGACCAGGCCTGAAACTGGGTGGTAGGGAGTGAGGGCTCAGAGCCAGGTCTGGGCAATTTCAGACCAGTTCTTGCGCCGGCTCCTCACGGCTCCTCACCGCGAGTCCATGGGTAACCAGCGGAGGCCAGGCGCATAGGCGAAGCACCAGCAAAGCCCGCGCCAGCTCTGCTGTTTTCTTGAGATGGAAGGCCCCACCATCAAAACGCAGAGGCTGCCAGTCAGCTGTAGAGGGCCTGGAGTGGCAGGAGAGCGGTAGACGTGTCCAGAGCATTGTTAGATCCCTGATCACACACCACACCAGGGGCAGACAGCAGATTTACCAAATGCCCCTTGCCCAGCGAGGGGGCAGTGACTGATTAACTGCGCAAATCTTTAGGATAGCAGGCTCTTGGGGAGGGTGGGCAGTTAATAATTAATGGTTAGGGACAGAGGTCAGAATAACAGTGTCAGGACAGGTAACCCCCCAAGTGACAGACCCCAATAACCTTCAGCCTGACAGGCCAACAGATCTCAGGCGCCCAACCTGCACTGCTGAATAAGAGTCTGGACCCAAGAGCAGGGGACTCAAGTTCAAGTCAGTTGGGCTTTGCAGTCCCAGCCGAGCAACCTCGCCTCTTTCGTTGCAATTGTTTAGTCTTCCAGGGAGCAGCAGTGTAGAGTTACTGCACACACTTAAAATGTGCATAGTCCACATTTATCCCTGTTATCCTTGCTAGACATGTAGTCTACAGAACATGAGCATGGGCATCAGGGAAAAATGTCCAGAAGGACCTTAACCCCAAACGAAAGCAACCCAGCGGTCCACCAAATGGGCTGGATGATAACACCGAGGTATACGAAGAGGGGCTCAGGCGATGGCCTACTCCACAGAAATGAAAAGAATGAACTGTTCATACACCACCAACTCTTTATTTAATTTAAAATATTATTTGTTTTTTACTTTATATATAAAATAAAAACTTCAGAGCGCTGCAAGAAGCACTTTTAACTATCAGGCTTCTAACTCTCAGGGCATCTCCCCAGCCCTTGTCTGTTTTTAGATGCTTTTATCTGTCGAGTTTTTAGGTTTGCGCCGCAGAGCCCTTTCATCCAATAACATGCCTGCCTGTCTGTGTTTATGAGAGCAGGCACCCACCTAGAGGCCTCAGATCCATCCGGAGCTGGAGTTACAGGCAACTGTGAGTCAGCTGACATGGGTGCTGGGAACTGAACTCGGGTCCTCTAGAAAAGCAACCAGGGCTCACAACCTCTGAGCCATCTCTCCAGGTCCATTAGAGTATTAAAACAAACAAAATACAGCCTCACTGTAGAGCCCAGACTGGCTTTGAACTTACAGCAATTCTCCTGTCTCACCTCAGCCTCCCAGGTGCTGGGATTACAGGCATGCAACACCATGCCCAAGATGGCTTTTTTTTTTTTCCTATGTGACCCCTGAAGATTCACAGATTAGAGACTCCTCAAATTCCACTGGGTGCAATTCCTGTGGGGACCACAGACACATTGAAACAAATAATGGCGCTGGAGGAAGACGTGTCCCGACACCATGGCAGCACCGAGCTGGGGTGGGGGAGGGGGACATTGAGAATGAGCCAGGTGTGATGGCTCACGCCTCCAATCCCAGCACTGAAGAGGATGAAGGGGGAGTGTCACCTCGGGACCTTGCCTCGAGAAGGCAAATAAAAACAAAAGCAGCAAATAAAATAGAGAGGCTGGAGAGCTGGCTCTGTGGTTGAGCGCGCAGCCTGCTCTTCCAGAGGACCCGAGTTTGGTTCCCAGAACCCACATGGTAGCTCACACCCATCCACTCCAGGAGATCTGACACCGTTGGGTGCACACACAAACATGTAAGAAAAACACTCATATACTGAGAAAATAAATAAGCACAATAGAGCCAATAAGATGGCTTACTGGGTGAAGGCACTTGCTGACCAGCCCAGAGCCCAATCCTTGGGACCCGTAAGGTGGACACGGAAAACTGACCCCCACATGTTGTCCTCTGATCGGCACATGGACTCCGTGGCATGCGTACGCGGGCACACATTCTCATAAAATAAATAAATTAATGGAATAATTTAAAAGCATAGCTAAGATGAGATGAAGACGGGGAGAGGCTGGGCTGGGAGTGCTCGATGCTGGCCTGCAGGGGAGTTTTGGGGTTGTTTTGAGACCTAAGCTGGCCTGTAACTTACTGTCTAGTCCAGGTTGGTCTGGAACTCACGATCTTTCTGCCTCTGTCTCCCAAAGGCTTGGATTACAGGAGTGTACCACCATGTGAGTCTCCTGGAAAATTCCCGAACCAAGTTTTGTGGGGAGATGAGGGAAGGTTTTTACTAATAATACAAAAGCTGTTAAGGGGAGGAGGTAGAAGGCCTCTCACTGATGCTGACTGGGTTCCACGCCGGCCTTTATGGCAATCACTGGGGAAGAAGGAAATACTGGTCACCTTGGGCTGTCCCCTGCTCCTATCCAGAGATCTTACCCGCTATTTTCCAAAGCGAGATCACGCCCTAACCGCAAAGGTGGGCAGGCTTTGAGTGATGAGAGCGCTGGACAGCCGAGTGACTGGCGGCTCTAGAGCCGATAACAAGAGCCTGGAGACTCCACGGAGAGCTCTTGCTAAGCATGCGCAAGGCCCAGGGTTTTGTCCCCAGCTCCGCCCATAAACAAATCAACCCCAAACTCTGAATACGGTCAGGTAAGCTGGAATAACTTATAAATGGTCTCGTTGTTGTTGCAAAACGGCTTTTCACCATTGGCTAGCACGTAAACCCGGAACACGACCGACCTTCTTGCTGTTTCTTCTGCCAGCTAGTCAAGCTCGGCTCTGCCAACCCCAGCCTTGAGCTTGATTTTGCACCTCAAGAAGGTCCCTTCAGCTAATGTACTCCAGGAATCCTGCCTCAACGCCGGTGTGGCCATTGAATCTTAATAGTGAGGCCCAGGGACTGCTTACCTATAGGAGACACCTCTTGACCAGGTTCCAACCCGAATCTCCAGAACTCAAAACACAAGCGCCAACTAGATTAGGTCTTTTCAAATGCGCTAGTACCGTCCCCTGGTGGAGATTTAGGGAAATTGCACAAAAGTCTGCACTTGCTTCGTTAATAGGCTGGTCTCCCTTCTTCATCAGACAGCCTCACCCGTGCAAAACGCTTTTGATCTATTTAGCTACTTGGATATCCCACCCCTGAGACATTATTTTAATACCCAGACATGGAGGCGCATACTTATAATTCAGTACTGCGACTGGGAGGCCGCGACAGGAGGAACGAGAGTTCCAGCTCAGCCTGGGCTACGAAGTGAGGTCCTGTCTCAAAAACAGCAAGGGCGGGAAAGAAAACTCAGTGGTAAATCTTTTACCGAGCATATGCCAGTCTCAGGCAGCACCTAGCAACACAAAATAGATTTATTGTGGTAAAAATGTGCATAAGAAACTGGAGAGATGGATGGCTCAGAGGTTAAGAGCACTGCCTGCTCTTCCAGAGGTTAATTTCCAGCAACCACATGGCGGTTCACAACCATCTGTAATGATATCTGGTGCCCTCTTTTGGCCTGCAGGCATACATGCAGGCAGAACACTGCATACATAAATAAATACATCTTTTAAAAAATACACATAAAATAAAAACTTCTATCTTAGCCATTTAAAAAAAAATCTGTGGGCCAGGCAGTGGTGGTGCACTCCTTTAATCCCAGCACTTGGAAGGCAAAGGCAGGTGGATCTCTGAGTTCGAGGCCAGGATGGTTTACAGAGTAAGTTCCAGGTCAGCCAGGACTACACAGAGAAATCCAATCTTGAAAAAAAAAACAAACCAGAAAAATGTGGAGAGTGGTGAAGAAAGAACCCTGAAGTTGATCTCTGGCCTCCACATGTGTGCTGTGAGCACAAGCACACACATGCGCACACATGCACACACTCACGCACATATGCATGCACACACATGCACACACACGCACATATGCACACACATATGTGCGCACACACACATCAGTTCCATTATTTAAATCTCTGGCACACTTAGACTGTGCTCACACTTCAAGAAACACTAGTTTGAACACAGATGAGTATATCTCTCTACAAGTCTCTAGTTTTGACTGTTTTGGTATTGACATCTGAAGAAGCATTGCTAAATCACCATGTAATAGTGAATTCATTTCTGAGAGACTTCCGTACTGTGTTTCATGGCCCCCAAACCATTTTCCATCCCTTCATTAATTTGCGTTTTCCCACCTTCTTGACAGCGGTTGTTGGTTTCAATTTTCTCTGCTTTTTTATTTTTTCAGGGTTTTATTTTATTTACTTTATGAAATTGTTTCTTTTTATTTTTTGATACTATAATATAATAACATCATTTGTGTGTTTAATATGTATATGCATGTGTTTGTATGAAATGTGCATGCAGGCACCTGGGGAGGCCAGCAGAGGGCGTCTCAGTCCCTAGAGCTGTAGTTACAGGTGGTTGTGAGACACCCAACACTAATTCTCTTACCTCCCAAGTGTGGGATTATAGGTTTAAAGTCCAATTTGTCCCTATCTTTAGCGCGCTCTCTCTCTCTCTTTTGTCCTTCCTTCCTTCCTTCCTTCCTTCCTTCCTTCCTTCCTTTTTCCCTTCCTTCCTTCCTTCCTTCCTTCCTTCCTTCCTTCCTTCCTTCTTTCCTTCCTTTCTTTTTCAAGACAGGATTTCTTTGTGTAGCCTTGACTTGTTCTGGAACTCACTCTGTTCAAGGCTCACCTTGACTGCACAGAGATCCATCTGCTGGGATTAAAGTTGTGCATCATCTTTTAAATTTTTAATATTTATTTTGTGTGGAGAGAACGCACGTGCCACCGTGCGCAAGTAGATGTAGAAGAAAAACCTTTGGGAATGGGCTTCTCCTTCCACCATGAGGGTCAACTCAGGCTGTCAGGCTTCACGTCTGGCATCGTACCAATGAGTCATCTCCCTGGGTCTATTTCTTTTATTACCTATGTCCAAGAAGCTGTAACTAAATTAATATATCGTATCCTCTGTTTTCTTCTGTGCTCTTAGCTCTTAAGTTTTGGCCTTTGAGCCATTGTAAATTTGATTTCAAGTTACTTTTAGTATTCCATGTAAAGTTCATTTTGACTCTTCCATATGTGATATCCAGTTTCTCCGGGATCCACAGTTGAAGAACCTCTCACCCACATCAAAATCGTCTCTGTTCCTTTATCAAAAAGCACCTGCTCGGGGCTGGAGAGACGCTCAGTGGTCTGGAGAACTTCCTACTCTTCCAGAGGACCTTGGTTTGACTCTCAGTCACACATGGCAACCCACGACGATCCGTAACTCCAGTTCCCAGGGAGCCAGCGTCCTCTTCGACCTCTTCAGGACCCAAGCACACACATGGCACACACACACATATGTGCAGTCGAAGCATTCGTACATATAAAATGAAAGTAAATATTTTAAAATATCTGGCCATATATAAAAGGGTTTATGTCTTGGATTTTTTCTATTCTAGTCCATAACATATTCTGGAATAAAATAGAGGAATGAAATAGTGTATGTTTCTCCTTGTGCCAGCATCCTTATGTTGATTACTGTTGCTTTGTAGTAGATTTTGAAGAAAGAAAGTCCTGGGCCAGCAAGATGGGCTGGGGGTAGAAGCGCTTTGGCAAGCTGAGGGTAAGGGGAAGAACTGGCTCTCAAAAGTTGTCCTCAGAGGGTTCCAGAGGTGGCTCAGCCGTGAAGAGCGCTGGCTGCTCTTGCGGAAGACAGGGTTCAGTTCTCAGCATCCACATGGTGGCTCACCACTGTCTGTAATTCCAGTTCCAGGGGCTCTCTTGCTCTCTTTTGGGGACATGGTATACAGACACGCAGAATTACAGATACTACACATATCTGTCTTTTGCTTCTCCGTCTTTTGGCTAAGATTATATACATAATTTAGACTATATATTCTAATATATAATTATATAGATTATATATAATATATATTAAAATATAATCTAAACTATAGATTCTATACATAATTTAAAAATAAAAATACATTGTAAAAAAGAAATTATCTTCGGATTACACCCTATCTATCTATCTATCTATCTATCTACTATCTATCTATCTATCTATCTATCTAATCTATCATCTATCTATCTTTCTATCATCTATCTATCTTTCTATTGTCTGTCTATTGACCTACCTATTATCTATCTATCAATCTATCATCTACCTGTCTGTCGATCTATCATCTATTTATAATCTATCTACTATCTATCTATCTATCCATCCATCCATCTATCTATCTATCTATCTATCTATCTATCTATCTATCTATGGAAAGCATGCCAGGAATGGTAGTACATGTCTTTAATTCCAGCATTGAGAAGGCAGGAGCAGCAGGTGGATCTCTGTCAGTACAAGGCCAGCAAGGTCTAAAAAAATTTATCTGCCTTCCACATAGGTGCGTGGTGGCAGGTACTCTTGAGCACACAAGCATGCACACACACACACGCAAATAAATTAATAAATAAATAAATAAAGTGTGGCATTTTCCCCCAATATGGGACACCTAGAATTGTACAGCCCCCGAGGCCCAGCTGCACATCCCGTCTTTGCTTCTGTGATGTCATCGTTCATCATTACATCAACTCCTTAGTTTTGACTTTTATTCTGCATTACCCACATTCCTCCAGTGTCACCATTTAGGTTGGACCTTACCCTTTTCTGCCTCTACAAATGTGTATCTTTTTATTTTGAAAATAAACGGAAGCTACTATACCCTCTAATCTTAAATATGTATTAGTACATGTTCCTAAGCTTTGCCCACGAATGAAACCATAAGTGTGCATTCTTTCCCAACTATAGTCTTTAGTGTGCATTCTTTCACATCTATAGTCTTTAGTGTGCATTCTCTCACATCTATTGTCTTT